AAAAAAAAAAAAAAAAAGCTATCATCTTTCCAACCAATTGGGCTGGTTATGCAGAAACTAGTTATGCTTCAGCCAAAGTTTGCTAATATAAGTTTATTTAGTTTGGCTCATGTATCCAGCTAACACGGCACTGGTCAGATGGAAGCAATTTGTTTGGCTGGCACATGACCATCTGCACTTCATTCAATAGATTGTGCCCAGACCCTGGGAAATGATTTTCCACACTTGTGACCAGACTACCAAGACTGGATCTACACAAACCCATTTTCATTCAAAAGCAAACAATGCAGTGCACATACCATAACGGCATTACACGTTAGCTGTGTGTAAAGTTGTCTTGGTATACTCGGGAATTTGTCATGCAGCTCTGTTCTGCAACTGTAAAGCCCTAAGTGGGTACAAATACAGCTTAAGAAGGAATTTTATCTCCTGCATCCAACAGGTACTCTTTGTATAAATTTGCATTTTAAAATTTTAATCAAAACTTTCTATTTTTAGAAATGTTGGTCCACATGCACAGTAGAATCCTGCTGACAGCATAGTGGACGCAAGTGCACATTCTCGGGACTGTAAGAAACCAGTTGACATGCTTCAAAAACAACTCACAGGAACCGAATCACAACTGGAATAGAGCAAAGCAACTTTAAAGCCGGATGAATGCACACAATGGAAACATCCCTAACTGCATGCAGCTGCAGCCTACACCATCCTACTGTCCCAGTGATTGCATCCTCTGGGCTCCAAGAGTCCACAAAGAAACCTCTCTTTTCGAAAGATACAGCTGACTTGAAAGATTTACTAAAGCTTGAGCCAACTGCTCTTCCAGACAACTGTTAAAACAACATTATTATCAGAGCAGTGTATTGCTAATCACATTTTTATTATTAACTTTTGCCACTGAAATTGCTCTTCAATTGTTTGTTTTGGAAGAGACACATAAAATATCATGACAGCGTTATTTTGGCACACATTGGAAAATCTGCCATGAATAAAGATTTTTTCCAATGCAATAGAGTCTGCCTATATTACTTGGCATTAAAATGACTTATTGAAGTAGCCAAAACATAAACCACTGACATAAAATGAGAGATCAGATTATAGCAACACCCAAAGCCAATACATCCGACTTCACTTTGAAGGCACATTTTAAAGCAATTTCTACTTTTTGGAAAGAGGTGAAATAGAAACAAGAATGTCCTTGGTCATGCCCACCTGGTAACTGCGCCCTTTAGCACTGGGAGGCGCCGGCTCCTCACAGCTCGCCTTCAGACCACGCTTACTGAGCAGCCTCCGGCTGCAGACCAGAGGCTGTGAGCCCACAGCCGGCTCAGCGCAGGCAGCACCCTCTGCGGCGTCCTCCCAGCCAGCACAGGGCCTGGGCTGCCAGGGCCACACAGAGCTCGGACGCAGGAGGGCGGCCAAGGAGCAGCACCCAGCTCCCAGGAAGGCCACTGCACACGCGGCCTTCCTCCCTTGCTTGGTGGACCAGTTAGTTCACCCTCACTGTGGTCCTGACTGGGTGAGAGGCCCTCGGAGGATGACTGGACTCACACACCCTTGTTAGAAGCTGAAAGTGCTGCTAGGGCTCCGGGAGCTGCCTCTGCAGGGCCCATCTCTAGGTGCTTCCCGGCCCCAGGATGTGAGCGGCTCTCCTCCTGCCTCAGAGCTGCCCAACGGAGGAACTGGAAACTCAGAGCTGAGAGCAGAAATAAACCTCGCCTCCTCTAAGCTGCAGGTGGTGCCAGGGATTTTGTCCCAGCAACGGAAAAGCTGGTCGATACACCTGGCCTGGCACAAACCAGGAAACGGACAGCGGGGAGTCCAGGATGGCTGAAGCCTGCTCTGCTGCTGCGCTCCTCCCAGGGCTGTGTGGGTCCCTTGGGCTGATGTCACGAGCATCCCCGATGGGGACTGCAGCTGTCACGGTTCTGGTCACCTGGAGACCACAGGGGCACAGGCACCCAGGCTTCTAGCAGGTGCCTGTGCCCCGGAGCCCAATGCGCCCACGTCCTCACCCACACTGCTTGCTCGACCTACTGGGTGCATTTACCTCCCACAACTTAGGCCTCAGGGAGACTTTTTTTCAAATAGAGGAAACTGTCTGATTTTGAAGGGCATAAATTGTTTGCAAAGCCAAAAAACAGGAAGTAACCAGAGTATAAACCCTGCACGATTTCATCTCAAACTCTCCTTGGGCCTCACGCCCCGCGGTTTCTCCACACTCCCTGGACTCAGGCACATTTCCGTACTCAGCACTTGCCCTGCCCGGACCACGCCTCCTGCCCCTCGAGGCCCGCCCAGGTCCCTTCTATGGCCGCCCCCCTCCCACTCTCCCACTTGGCAGAGCCACACACCCGCCCTGCTGGGGACCAGCTCACACTGCGCCCCCGACCAGGTGCACTTCCAGACTGCTTCTCCTGCCCACAAATAGCAAAACTGCCAGGGTCTCCTGAGCCGGCAACCCAGCGGCCCAGCCAAGCTGAAGGACACGCTGTGTTCCTTGACTCCAGGACCCGTCGGTGCTAAGATGCACCATTATTTCATCAGCACTACGGGAGAAAAATGTTGCCAGTTAAACTATGGCATGGCTTCTTCTTACCAGACATTTTATTTTCTTTTTCTTGAAAGAGCTCTTTTAGACTTATTCAGACATAGGTTTTTATAATATATCACTCTCAGGCATTTATAGAAAGGAAAGTAAAAGTGAAATAAATTGTTTAAGGCAACGACAAGCAGGTCACCTGGCTGAAAGCAGCTGTAAAACGCCATTGCTTTGGAAAGTAGACTTCGATTTCTGAAATGTTATAATCTGAGAAACATGTGATTCACAGAATCAATAAAACAGTGTATTATGCATATCGGTAACAAAAACTTTAAAAGGACAAGCAAGGTAATAGTTCACAGGATACCTGCTACGATCACACTGCATTGATTTAAAAATGTATTTATACGGAGAAAAGAAGCTCAGATTATTCAATTCGAGAAGGAAGTACAATAGAAATTTAATAGTGCTCCTCAAGGACATGAAGCGCTGACTTGATCTCTTGTTGCTGCTGGGCAGCAGGATTTCTTTTTAAAATACCACCCTAGCAAAGACCCTGAGCACGAGCTGCTCTGGCCAGGGCGAGGGCCCACCCCAGATGTGCCAGCAAGGCCACCCCTGGAAGGCAGCTCGAAGTCGGCCCATCCCTTCAGCGTTCCTGTCATGCGGAGACAAACACTGGCTCGGTGCTCAGTCTACAAAGACCACTGGAGCGAAAGTTCCCAGGAGGGACAACACCCGGAAAACACCAGAACCCCCAGGGAGGGCGCTGCTCAGCTAGAAGCAGCCACTCAGGTTCCACCCTAACCCTCAGATCCCATCAGGGATCTCAGCGGCGTTTATTGGGGTGACGAAAGTCGATTCTGCACCTCATTTTACTCTCCACACACGGGAGCCACAGGTGGCTCTCATTTCAGATGCCTTCCAGGAGCAGGAGAAGGGGTGCACGAAGCTAAGCCAGCCCAGTTCTACAGACAGCAACTCCCCACCGGCACCAAGGACGTGGACTGGAACCCGAGGGGAGGACTCCGTGCTGCAGCCCCACACACCCACCCGTGCGGAGGTGACCTTTCAGGATGGGAAACCTGCTGTGAAGGGTGGGTTATTCAACAGCACTTCCATGTAGTCCCCAAGTGGCACCCACCTTCACAGAGCAGAGAGCCGAGACGCAGGGAGGCTCCTGACACAGTAAAGAACCACAAGCTTTGGGGTGGAGTGGGGGTCACACAGCCAACCGTACCATCCAGTCAAAACCTTTCAGACCTTTGAATTTCACAAGCATGCTTCCTCTCTTACCAGTATCACTTCAAAAATGAGTGGGATCAGTTTGCTTTCTTCCACAAGTCTGTTAAAAAAAAGAGAAAGTAACCACTTATTAGATGATATACGTTTGAACCACTGCCCTGATACAGAGCAATGAAGCCCCCATGTTTGATTGCTGAAATTCTGTGACTGAAAAATAGCATGATTCAACATTCACTTGTAATACTCTGAGCTGCAGCTATTAAACACGAGGAATATGAGGCATCTCCCAAAGCAACTACTAGCTTTGCCTTATTGATCAGCAGAAAGTGAAATAGCAAATAGACTGGCATTTTTGATGTACAAATTAATTAAAATTCATAATTATTATAAAGACTACCAAAAAAGGTAAAGCCAGCTGAAACAACATAACCGGCCCTCACTGCACAGCTGAGTCATACGCATTTTCATATAAGCCTCATGAGCTGCCTTTTCAGCATTGATGAATTCATCTACAATAAACTTTAATGGCCTTTAGTTTTTTTTTTTAATTTTATTGCTAAGTATTTATGTATAGACATGAAGATATTTTTGTTTTATGGTACCGGGAATCAAACTCGGGACCTTGCACTTGCTAGACGGGCGGCGGAACCACAGCGCTGCATCCCCGGCCCTGGCTTTTAATTTCTGAGAAGCTGGGGGCCAATCACCCAATACATTCTAGGTGCTTTTTCTCATCAAATATACTTACAAATTGTCAACAGTTATAACAGAGCAATATGTTATGCAATTCAAGAGAAAGTAGCCTTGATAAAATCAAAACCATGCAAAAGTCACAGTTTTTTTTTTAAATAAGAACAATTCTCTAATCTCTAACTTCTTTTGTCCAAGACTTAGTAAATTTTTCCAGTAATGGGCCACTTTGACGCTTCCCAGTCTCGGGTCTCTGTGGCAGCCACTCAACTCTGCCATCGTCACGGAAAAGGCCGCAAGCAAAGCACAGGAGGGCGTGGGTGTGAACCTGTAATTCTTTATTCATGAAAAAATGAGGCAGGAGGCCAAGCTGTGGTTGCTCACTCCTGCTTCAGTTCAGAAAAATCATATCCCTGCTTAGCTCTTTCTTAGAATGTATGATAAACCCCAAGCTGAAGACAGGCAGTGTACAGGGAGATCCACGTAGTGCGCTACCTCACAGAAAACCCGAAGTAGGGGAAGCAGAGGGCTATCACATGGCCTCCTGGGAGCTGGGCTGCGAACACGTGCCCACAGCTAAAGGAATGCCACGCAACTACTGCATCGTAAACAATCAGTGTTCAGTCAGGCATTAAGGGAAAGGGAGACTGACATTTCCCAGAGAACGAGACCCACTTAGGGCCACCTTAGTGTCTACGCAAAGTGAATGTGCTATTGTCCGCTGCAGCGTGGCTCACAATCAACCTGTGTGCCCCTCAGTGGACACATGGGCTCTCCACACAGGAATGCTACTCAGGCTTCAGAGAGGAAGGCCATGCTGTCAGTTACAATAACGGGGATGAATCTAAACAATGGCATTCTGAATGAAATGATAGAAAGATAGCGCATGACCTTCTATGTGGGATCTGAGAGTGTCGAACTCAGAGAGGCAGAGAGTAGAAGGGGACCGGAGCTGAACGGAAGCAGGAAGTCCAGTTGGACTGGACGGGAGGAGTGAGTGCTCAGCGCAGCAGCTGCGCCTTCTGCTGCAAACTCCGCCCAGAAGAGCGCTGAGTGCCATTCCCAGGAGGAACTGACTATGCTAATCAGCCTGGCCCAAACCTCACACACGGGGTCTGGGCGTCACAGAAGCACACCGTGCGGGAGTGCAGAATCGCTGACAATTAAAAATTCACTACAATTAAAATAAATTAATGGGCCAGGGATTTAGCCCAGTGGCACCGTCACCTGCCTCACAAGCATTGGGTCCCGTTCAATCCCCAGAACCCCCAAAAATAAAAAATATAAATAAACTGATGATAAAATTTTAACAAAGAGAATAAGTGTGTCATTTATACAGTCTCCGTGTATGAAGGGGAGAGGGCTTTGGTGACAGCTGCTAGGTTCCAGGGTATTCTCCCACATCCTAGAGGCACGCCGGGCAGGACCGGACACAGCCTCCAGGGGGAGCCCCATCAGCCTGGGGCACTGGCAGTCTTGCGCCTCGGCTTCCTAGGAGCCGGGCAGCTCTTCCTAGAGTGGTCAGGCAAAACCTTCACAGCCAGAACTGGGACAGCGGAGCCAGGTGCGAGCATCCCGGGGTCTCCCCAGTGGCCAAGGCCAGGAATGTCGTAGAGCACGGGGCAGGGCTTCTGAAGGCACCGGACCCTCCCTCCACCTGGCCCAGAGCGCCCACCGGACAGCGGGCCTGCAGGAGTGGGGGCACCGCACACAGGACTTCGCTCTGCTCACGCCGACCAGTCTGCTCCCTCCAGTCCTGCCCTAGAAGACCCCGAAGGCTCCTGGACTCTAAGACAGGAAGCTCCAGTCCCTGCCTTCTTTTTTACACCTCATCTTCAATGCTAGCCCTAGGGGTGCCCAGGCGAGCGGGAACCCACTGCCGGGGAGCAAATGACTCAAGCTCAGACTCTAGCCACCTCCCACTGGAGCTCCAGACCCGAGGCCACTCATCTGCCGACGTCATGCCAGGGCCCGGCCCCAGCTGCACCTGGACCATGGACTCCACCCTCGCCTGCTCCCTCCCCTCTCACAGCCTGGGGCCTTGCCCACCCCACTCGGCCCCCTGGGGCAAGGCCAGGCCTCCTCTTGGGATCTGAGTCCCTTCAGCTGGGTTTACCAAACTGAATAATAAAATAACATTTTAAAATACCCAAAAGATCTACAAAGTTCCACACAGCTTTAAAATGTCAATAGTTTTTATGTTTACATCAATAAAGACAGAACAGTTTTATGCTTTTAGATTGGGAATCGAAACAAACATTTTCTGAAGAGACTCAGAAAGTAAATATTTTGGGCTTCGGCAGACACAGGGTCTCTGCCTCTCGTTTGTCTGGGGGTTTTTTGGGTTTTTTTATTAAATTCTTTTATTGGTACATTGCAGGTATACAACACAATTACATTTCTCATTGGGAATTGTACCTTTACACAATGTATCTTGGTTCTTATTTTTCACCCTTGCCCAGCCCTCCCTTCAACCCCTCCATTCCTCCCTATTTACAAAGATTTTGTTCCTATTTTTCCATTTTCTCATATTAATCCCATTCCCTTCTATCCCTTCCTCTAGCCCTCCCACTTCCTTCCCCTTTGCCCCTTTTCTTCCTACTTCACATTACCTATTATACATTTAGTCCTTATTTACACTTTCAGTTTCTCACACCAGAGAAACTATTCGGAATTTATTCATGTGTGTCCTATTTATTTCACTTAAGAGTATCGCCTCAATGTGCATCCACTTAGCTATAAATGTCTCTAATTTCTCATTTTTTATGGCTGAGTAGTACTCCATTTTATTTATATTTCATTCGTTTCTCTGTTTGCAAGGTTTACAGCTCTTCAAAAATGTAAATACCACTCACCTCCCTGCAAGCCACACACAACACCATCAAGCCGGCCCCAGGGCCAGAGTGCCAGTCCGCTCTGATCCAATCCAATCCGATCCGATCCAGCTCAGCCAGGAGTCCTCGGACCACAGGAGCCTGGCCAAACAGAGGATGCACCAAGTCCATGCTCGGCCCAAAAGCGCCGTGCAAAGCATAGCTGGAGAGTCACGAGTTACAAACGTGTAACTCACACAAAGTAGCCATCCACTCCTGACCCAGAAATAGCCACAAAGTACTCACGTGAGTGTGGACTCACATGGACACTGGCAGAACACGCGGGGACGCACTGTGGAAACAACCGCCCTGACTGCAGTACAGATGTGCAGGCTCCAGCCTCACAGACCCAGAAAGCACCTCGAGGACACACAGGTCTACTCTAACCTCAGCCCCACACCAACATAAAGTCATTACCTCCCACCATCAACCTTTCCTCCACAGTGGGAAATGCTGTTATACTAACAAATTTCAAAGACAGTTGACAACCACTGGCTGCTGGAGCAAGAAAAAGAACTTTCCCAAGAAAATTGAAAGGTTAAACTTTTCAAGGATAAAATAAAATTTTAGACTTGTAACTGCTGAAAAGGTAACTTTAATGGAAGAACATAAAATACCTCAGCAAAGTCGACAACTCAGACAATTTTAATTTGATCTCCAAAATCTTCCTAAGTAAATTTTAGCACCAACAATACATGTTGGATAGGTACACAGCACTATAATCCTCTAAGGCTCCAATCAAAGCAGACAGAAAGGGGGTCCAAACAAAGCTTTTGAACCAAGGGACTGCAAAAAGAGCCAAAGCCCAAGACTCACTCTGTTTTCAGTCTTTTATGCTTGCTTCCCCTGCAATTCCTCTCCTTTATCAAGAGGTGTGGACACGGACTCGGCTTGAGCACGTAACTGAGAACACTGTACAGGGGCTGTGTTCAAAAGGGGAAAAGCAAGTTAAACGCACGCTCAGGCCCAGCCAGAGAGAGCATGTATCACACTCCACAGGACCCTGGCGACAAACAAACACAGACCTGCAAGGCGACCCAACCCTGGGGACAGAAGTCTAGAGACCAGCCGGCCCCCATCCTGAGGTTTTTGTCTCCATGGGCACCTGAGAAGCAGCAAATTGTCTCTGGAGAAATCTATTTGTTCTGATTTTAACAGTTTTACTTCAGTGCACAAATATTTTGTTCCTTGTGATTTCATCTGAGCAAATACTCCCACTAAATTCAGCTAGATGAGGGAGAAAGACCCCAAAATGACTTACAGTGAACCCTCAAGTTACGACCAGCCTGACATATGAACTTGGTTTAGTTTTAACTTACGAACAAAGTTTTGAGTTAGGACCCGAATCCGGGATGCTTGTGCTTCCAGATGGTCTCAGATACAGATTTAACCCCTAAAGAGCTCTGGAAGGAACAGGACAGCAACCTCTCCTGTGTGGGGTTCACTGAGAAATCCTGGGCCAGCGTCTCTCCAAGGACACTGAGATCTGCCTGTGTGCAGGAGGGAGACTTTGAAGGCTGCATAGAGGAGCCCCAGC